ACAGCCGGGATACCGATCTACTCTAGGCTGAGCTGCCATGGCCACGCCCATGGCTCTTGGGCTAGGAGGAGGAGGACGGAGCGCCAAGGAGAAGCGGAAAAGGGGAGCAAGGAGACCGATGCCCCCTGTGGACAGGGGCTGCTTACCAGCAGTCCCCTGGCTCTTGGGCTAGGAGGAGGAGGACGGAGCGCCAAGGAGAAGCGGAAAAGGGGAGCAAGGAGACCGATGCCCCCTGTGGACAGGGGCTGCTTACCAGCAGTTCGGAGGTGCTGAGAACATCCAGGGTCAGGGACTGTATGCGGGAGTAGTGCACCCCCAGCTCCCGGTGAATGCCCGAGCACTCGATGCACGTCAGGATGCCCAGGTTGATGGAGAGCCACGTGGGATCTGCAAGGCAGCAGCAACCTCTGTCACTGGTGCTGTGACAGCCCCTCGCTGGAGCCTCCGGCCCTGCATCCTTGCCTGACCCCCGCACCTCCCGGCCTGGTGCAGGTCAGCGGCTCTGTCCTTTTTACCCAGCTCTCCGGATGGTGTCAGGGGAGAGCTCGCTGGAGAAACCCCTCCCCTCTGCCAGGACCTCCCCACCCTTCCCCTGGCCCCTGGAATGCCACCCACCCTGGCTGACATCCTGCTTCCAGCAACAGCCAGTGACGGGTGCTCCACACCACGTCCAGCTAGCTCACGGAGAGCGCGTGCCCTGCTCCGAGCGAGCACCGGGCTCAGCCGCAAGGCCACGCAGAGCTAACCATGCTGGCAACGTGACCCTCCATGGGGGCGCCAAGCTCAGGGCACCAGGCCCTGGCACGCTCTGCAACTGCCCCTTTGCAGCATCGGCGTCCCCGTCCCGCACCTACCTGGGGCCCCGCAGTCACAGCACTGCCTGTTGCCTGGCATGCCCTTCACCTCGCCCATGACTAGCCTGGTGAGCTCCTGCAGGCCACCGTCCGTCACCCCCCCAGCCGAGGCCACACAACTGCTTGGATCCCCCTTGAAGGCGTTGCTGAGAGCTTCGTCCTTGCTGTTCTGCAGCACAGACACCCAGCTGGAAGGGGGGAGGGGGAGAGGGGAGACTTCAGGCAGGAACCCAGGGAGGGACCAGGGGAGGAAGAGAAACAAAAACCCACTCTAGGCTTGGGAAAGCGTATTGTGGGTCACGGCGCCCTGCTGCTCCTGAAAGCCCAGGTCGTGGCTGGGCAGGGCTGGACGAGACACCGTTTGCAGCCTTCGCTGCTGCGCCTATTTTGGCCACAGAGGGCACCATAATAATACACAACAATCCCTAGCTCTCTGGTTTCTCAGCTCCTCTCAAAGCACTCTACGAAGCAGGCAAAGATCATCGTCCCCCTTTCCTAGAGGGGGAAAACGAGGCCCAGAGCAGGTGACTTGCCCCAGGTCACCTAACAGGACAGTGGCACGGCCAGGCCAGATGCCTGGCTCCCAATCAAATGCTCTACCCACTAGACCCCACTGCGGAGTGATGGTGCAAGGTGGCCAAGCTCGGCATCTTCACACGTGAAGCTCGCAAGGTCCACGGGCCCCAGGAGCCAGACGGCAAGCACAGGATGCAAACGTACAAAGCAGATTTTCCTGCCACCCAGTGCCCTGTATTCTGCAGGGGGGGTAGGAACCCCCGGACTCAGCGCAACATTCCAATGAGTGCGCCTGCATCCCCCGCCCCACCCTGCTGGACAGACTCTCCACTAGGTCTCAGAGCCCCTATCCTGCCGCTAGCCAATGGAGAGCCTCCTGGAGCTCGAGTGGGAGGGACCCGTGCCTCCACCTTGGCAGAGAAGGCAGCTGGCCTGTTCTCTCCTGCAGGGCAGGTGGCCGTTCCCCATGAGGGCGGAGAGGACGGCTGCTGTCACTTACACAACACACTCCTGCTCATCCTCGGCTTGGAAGTGGTACGTCCTGTTATCTGCAGGGAGAGGGAGGAGGACAGGTGAAAAGGATGCTTGCAACAGCTGGGAAAGCCCATGATCTCTGCCTAAGTCCAACAGCTGCTACAAGAGGCTGCGTAGTTTTTGCAGGGAAACAAGGCTGTTGATCTGTATTTCTGGAGACCTATTTGAGTCCAACCTTGGGCCACAAGTGTCACGAGTTTGGTGGATCTCGCCTCATTCCACAGAGTCTCAGAGGGGCAGCCGGGGTTACAGAGACGTGGGTGTATCTATAAGGACAACAAAAGAGGGTACTTCTTTCTTGTGTTGTCCTTATATATACCCCTGCCTCTGTGAACTCCATTCCAATTCATCTGATGAAGTGGGTTTTGCCCAAGAAAGCTTATGCCCTAATAAATCTGTTAGTCTCTAAGGCTACGTCTAGACTGATCGGCACAGCGTGGCGGCCATTTTGATGTAAATGAAGCAGCGATTATTTAAATAGCCGCTTCATTTTCCTATGTCTAGTAAACTCATCTGCATATGCCCTTATCCCTCCCTCTGCCCACCCCCTTTTCAGTTCTAGGCATCCCCCAAGCAGAAGGTGCCTCTTGTATGATCCTAAGTGATAAGGGCAAACAAGAAGCCCTGTTGACAGAGGGTGCAAATCAAGCACGTCGAAATTGCTAATGAAGCCGGGATTTAAATATCCCGCGCTTCATTAGCATAAACATGACCGCTGCTTTTTTTCAAAACAGAGTTTTTTCAGAAAAAAACCTGCAGTCTAGACGCAGATCTGTCAAAAATAAAGCCTTTTTTGACAGATCCTGTAAACCTCATTTTTGGAGGTTTATTTTGATCTTTATTTTCGACAGATCCACACTAGACTGCTGTTTTTTGGGGGTTTTTTAACTCAGTTTCAAAAAAAAAAAAAGCAGCAGCCATGTTTATGCTAATGAAGCACACGATATTTAAATCCCGGCTACATTAGCAATTTCGATGTGCTTGATTTGCACCCCTCTGTCGACACAGGGATGCAGTCTGGACACACCCTAAAGTGTTTGCCCTTATCACTTAGGATCATACAAGAGGCACCTTCTGCTTGGGGGATGCCTAGAACTGAAAAGGGGGTGGGCAGAGGGAGGGATAAGGGCGTATGCAGATGAGTTTACTAGACATAGGAAAATGAAGCGGCTATTTAAATAATCGCTGCTTCATTTACATCAAAATGGCCGCCGCGCTGTGCCGATCAGCTGTTTGGCGGCGCAGCGGGGCAGTCTGGACGCGCCGCGGTCGACAAGGGAAGCATACCCTTTCACGAGGCATACCAGAGCGGTCGACAAAGGCTTCCCTTGTCGACCGCGGCACGTCCAGACTGCCCCGCTGCGCCGCCAAACAGCTGATCGGCACAGCGCGGCGGCCATTTTGATGTTAACGAAGAGGCGATTGTTTAAAA